ACTGCCAGAACTCGGGGCATGTGCCCAACCAGCCTTAACCAGCCTTTACCCACCAGGGATTTCGGCTCCCTCCGTTAGCGTCGGTGTCCTGAACGCAGGCACTCCCAACCCAGCCCAACGGGCAGAGGGAACAATGGAGCATGGCCCCGACTCTACCTGTGGCCAACGGACGGCGCAATGGTCACCAGGGGCGCCCGCGGATCACCCGCACCACGGCGCCTCGGGATCGGTTCCCGGACGCCGCTTTGTCTGGCCAGACTTATCATTAGACAAGTATCACAGTGCAATGCCCCTCGCTTTCTTTTGATTTCTTGCAAACTGAGATATTTTGGTGAGGTTAGAGGCGATAATCAGATAACAATCCTTTTGGACGAGGGCTTAATCTCTGTCTAATCGCAGATTTATTGACAGGAAACGTAACAAGTAATTATAGCCCTAATTTATAGAGTCTTTATTAAACATTTATTTTGCTATAGAATTTTTTTTTTAATTCTTAAAGTCTTAACTAATTCTATGCGTACAAGAAGCTGTTTAGATAATTGTATATAATTGACTATCATCTAAACAGGTTTGAAAATAAATTTGCCATAGTTCATGACGCTATAACACAAGATGAAACTCATAGGCTGCTAGGAGATCATCGCGTTTTTGAAAATGAAATGTTAATGAAAATAAATGTACCAACCAGTGTTTAGTGTACAACATCAACCTACCAACCACTGTTTAGTGTACAACATCAACCTACCAACCACTGTTTAGTGTACAACATCAACCTACCAACCACTGTTTAATGTACAACATCAACCTACCAACCAGTGTTTAATGTACAACATCAACCTACCAACCAGTGTTTAATGTACAAAATCAACCTACCAACCACTGTTTAATGTACAACATCAACCTACCAACCACTGTTTAGTGTACAACATCAACCTACCAACCACTGTTTAGTGTACAACATCAACCTACCAAACTGTGTTTAATGTACAACCTCAACCTACCAACCACTGTTTAATGTACAACATCAAAATACTAACCAGTTTTTAAGTGTACACCATCAAACCAACTCGATGACAATTGAAATATTTATTCTAAATATGACATGAAAAAAACCACATTATTTTATCAAATACAAACTTTCATTAAATACTTCTTCCAAAAATTAGAGCCCACCTTGAAAACAAAACTAAATCCCAATCTCTAGATCACTTCTGGCTAATGCCAACGTAATGCACATATGGACATTCGTCAGAAAAAAAAACTTGACATGTCATTTTAAAACCCCCCAAAAATTCGGTATTGCATGACCGTGAATACATTTATACCGCGAATAGTTTTATATGGGCATTTGCATGATAATCATACTTTTTTATATTTTAAAAAAATTATCAAATTTCTACTGTTACAGAATAATAACTATTCCTTTATAATTGTATGCTTAATTTTAATTATATCTATTGATTTATGGGATATGACTACCAGATAATTCCTATGAGAACATCATTGCCCCATTCGAAGAACCCCCCCACCCCTTTTCTTTGCTCTGGTTTACGTGCACTGAACCTGGGATGCACGTGAAAAGCTCAACATCTTGAGGGCCAGTTGAAATGGGTAAGCTATATTCGCCAAGACCGACTTATTGCTCTACCCAACATGGCTATAGTATACCACAGGTGTGAGCAATACACTTTTATCTTGAAAAAAAAAAAAAACGCCCCCAACCACGAATGGAATGTGTTAAGTACCGATAAGGTTTGAAAGATTCAATCCGTGTTTGGCTCGTAGAATAAACGATACGTAAAAAAAAAAGGACTGAGAAAAACNAAAAAAAAACATACAAACAAACTAATCAACTTACAGCAAGTGAAAAAGGGAAACTTTTGAAACATACAAGCATTCATTTACCCCCCTTCAATTATATAACGTCTCGTACAGCAAACCCCCCCCCCCCCTTTTCGATCTTTCTGCTAGGAAACTCGACGACCTATATAAATGTAAATGGGAATTAAATTTGAACGTTATGGTAAAGAAATTCTAGCCACTGCGTCACCTGATGGTATTATTTATATCAAATAGAGCGCATTCGAACGCAAACAACCTTTTCCCAACCTAGGGCGGGGTGGGTAAGGGATGACACAGCACATTCACTCGGTGACGTTAATATCAAGGACATACTAATAATGGATGGAGATAAGGGTTGGGGGCTAAACATAGCTCTATTTTGAAGGGACAAAAATGTACTAGGTATGGGCTAGTATAATATGACACGTGGTTCATGGGAACTTAAACGATTGTTTTATTGATTTAGTTTCTAAAAACATTTTAAAATTCCCCGCGTATTAGGGGACCGCCTCAAATCAGCACCGCTGAGATTAACTGGCAAAACGTATGAGCATATACCAAGTTGTCTAGGATTAAATCAACCGAGGCTTGCGTGCAGTCAAAACAAGAGAGCAATCAGCTTGCATGACGTAGTACATGAGCCAAAGTATTTTGAAAACCCGAATAAAGGACGGAACAAAACAGCGTAACGTGTGTTACTAATACCTTGGTTACTGAATGAAAGATGATCGGTAAGTTATACAACTAATATCAATTTTCCTGAACACGTTTGCTCACAAGTTTCAATATCTGGAACATATATCGTACAATATATCTATAGTTAAAAATAATACCCTTTTTAAAAATGTAAGTTACAATAGAGATTATGCTTTTAGACACAGATTTGTTTCATCAACAGACAACGGTTGAGGCGACAACACTTGAAACATTTGCGTCTGTTGCCTAAGAGCTTCCAAACCCCGGTTCCTGATTCCCTTGCTGAGTAGCACTTGCAACCAGTGAAATATATCCTCTTCAGCACAAGGCACAGAAGCATTGCAAATCAATCCATATTCATAGGAGCCAGAATTATCAAAACAATTGAGCTTGGGCCCATGATATATATTTAAGAAGACGAAATCTGCCCAACACGCAGAGAAGAGATGTCTGGAATTTTTTTTTTTTTTGGAATGTTTTTGTGTGTTGAATTTCAGTTCAATTTTTAAATGGGACAACTGTACTTGAAAGACACAATATCAACTACAACTGTACATGAAAGATGCAATGTCAATAACTACAGCTGTACATTAAAGGCACAATTCCGTTTTGTGTTCCAGTGAACTGTGAATTCCATCCGGTGGCATCAAGGTTTCACTTTCTTCTTCTTAAAACACTGAAAGACTTAAACAGATCTCAGAACTCCCCACTGTTCCAGTAAAGTCATCAATCTAAGGTTATATTCCTCCATAGGGTGGCCTGAATTCCGATGAAAGTCATCTAAATGTCAGGATTCGATGTAGCCTCTGAACTGAGAACTGAAACATGAACAAGATGTTGATATTTTAAATGAAAGATACTTTCTCTAAAGTAGAACACGAACGATCAACGTCAGAAACAGCGCCGGGCTTAAAGACTCGGAACATTGAAAGCCCTTTGGCGTAACATCGTGTACGGTGTAAAGTCCAAGCTTTAAATTATCCCGTTTGAACACTTCAACTTTTCTTCAAACCAGCACAAAAATATGTCAGCTCCAGATGTTGATACTGACATAGATGTTGATACTGACACAGATGTTGATAATGACACAGATGTTGATAATAACACAGATGTTGATAATGACACACATGTTGAAAATGACACAAATGTTGAAAATGACACATATGTTGATACTGACACAGATGTTGATAATGACAAAGATGTTGATAATGACACAGATGTTGATAATGACCATGATGTTGACAATGACATAGACTTTGAGTTTGAGTTATTTTCCCCTTGCTCCCATTCTTCGTTGCATTAAAAATGAACCGTGTTAACTGCACAGTAAATGGATTTTTGTGAAACTCCACCCCACTGGCGAGGTTACATACCCTAGAGTCCAAAAACTATTCAAATATAAACACATGTGTTATAACAGATGTGTTTATATTTTAACAGTTTTTGTAATGAAGCATTGAGATCGGGACAGGCTGCACATTGACTAACACCACAAAACATTCAAACTAACGTTTGAGCTGAATGCCCCCATCTGCACAACTTAGCTCTTAGAAGAAGATTCACTGAAAGTTATTCATATTTTTTTTTTTAAATGTCGCGCACTTGTAACACCACGCTATTAGATTCGTATAAAATATCTGATATCCAGTAATCTTCTTACCTCGACTGTTGACAGAGTTCCCAACGCCACTGTCACGCACTGTCAGCCATGTAAAAAAAGCAAGATATGCAGAGTATTGATTTAAATATTTCAACGTCAATTGGTATTTAAATGAGATTATTATATGCAAGTACAAAACTTTACAAAACTATATAAATATATATAGTATGTATAAGTGAATCAAGGTCTGATGAACTACATCTGAATAAGTCGCTACAACTAATTAATTAGACAACCACTATGGTGGAACGAACAATAACTATGGTGGTACAAACAATAACTATGGAGGTACAAACAATAACTATGGTGGTACAAACAATAAATAAGGTGATACAAACAATAATATGGAGGTACAAACAATAACTATGGTGGTACAAACAATAAATAAGGTGATACAAACAATAATATGGAGGTACAAACAATAAATTTTGTGGTACAAACAATAACTATGGTGGTACAAACAATAAATAAGGTGATACAAACAATAATATGGAGGTACAAGCAATAACTTTTGTGGTACAAACAATAACTATGGTGGTACAAACAATAAATAAGGTGATACAAACAATAATATGGAGTACAAACAATAACTTTTGTGGTACAAACAATAACTATGGTGGTACAAACACTAATATGGAGGTACAAACAATAACTATGGAGGTGCCAACAATAACTATGGAGATACAAACAATAACTATGGTGGTACAAACAATAAATAAGGTGATACAAACAATAATATAGAGGTACAAACAATAACTTTTGTGGTACAAACAATAACTATGTTGGTACAAACAACAACTATGGTGGTACAAACAATAACTATGTTGGTACAAACAACAACTATGGTGGTACAAACAATAACTATGGTGGTACAAACAATAACTATGGTGGTACAAACAATAACTATGGTGGTACAAACAATAACTATGGTGGTACAAACAATAACTAAGGTGGTACACGCATTGTGTTGGGTAGAGCACGGACAGCGTTGTAATTGAAATAGCCGTGACAAAATGAGAGAAATAAGGAGAAAAAGAGAGAGGTAAAGAAAGATAGGGACAGAGAGACACGGGGGTAGAAGGTAGAAAGAGATAGAGAGAGATAAATAGAGGCAGAGATAGAAATAGAGAGAGGGAGATGTACAGAGGAAGACAGACAAACGAGGGAATGCATTGTTTCACAGACATGAGATAAGACCATGAAAATCCCCCCCCCCCATTTCTCCCCTTGTGTGCCCCAAACAGTGAACTCTCGGCTGAATGCCTAACAAGGAATGTTGAACCATCCGTGGACAGATACGCAATGGATGAACCCTACCGTTGCCTGACGTGTGCCCGTTCCTGTGCTGCTCATACACGGCACTCAAGCCCGGCAGTCGTGTCTTGACGGTACGGATGAGTTGGCCTATCGTCTCCGTCACGTTCGACTTGTCATGGTCGACCAAACAAACCGTGGACTCTAGATACTCCTTGTACCGAAAGAAGTCCGCCTTGCCACGCGTCAAGATTTTACCTAGCCTCATCGTACAGTTGCAGTTGTTTCGTAATGTTGCTCCTCCCCTGCCCTGATCGATAAACAAATCAATTGCTAATAGGTTCATTCGATTCTCGGTGTTACAAATTTGAGAAATGGATTTATTGAAAATAAGAATTCTCATTCGTTTGTTCATAGTTACAATATTGACAATAACCGTGGCTAGAGTTGCAGTAGAATTTAAATCCCCATTACCGTCTTGTTTTTTAAAAATAATAAAATTAATTTTTTAAAAAGGCCATTAGTTTTTTTTTGTATTAAAACATATTTTCTCATTGTTTTTCGGTCGTCCTGGACACCATGGCAATAACTGAATGACCATGACGTTTACAGCTAACATTGCAGTTCTATCCCACAACCAACAACAACAAAAAAAATGCAGGAAAAAGATAAGAGACGTAGCTTAAACCTTTTGATTGAAGGGGAGGCTTTGTGCACATGTACCCTATGACACATAATTTATAGTAAAACAAAGACTCACAGATTCTGCAACACCTCCTCCCGTTTCCATGATCGATATCGACAGTTGATCTGATCCGTAAATTTAATATAAAAAAAAAGAGACCCGTATTAATTGCACAGAGTTTGTTGTGATAGACGTGTACACGTGTACACGTGGACATGGAAACATAGCTACGCCAGAAACACATCTCTAAATTAACAAATAATTATTATTTAAATCGCTAAACTTTTTTTTGTGAATGTTATTATAAAAGTAACTTTTAGGCTATGTTATAAATAGATACTATTATTCCTATATCTTATATTGTCTTATATAACTGTTTAGAAAAGTAATACGAAAATTTTCTACTTTTAAAAACTTTGAAAGATTTTGACGAAATTAAAGCAGTGGAATAGATCCAATCGTTCTTCAAAGTATTTAATGTTTTGTTTGTTTCGTTAAAACTGCATATTAAATGCAAACAAATATTGTTGGTGGATCAATGAATGCACCCATTAAAAGAAAATCGTTGGTGATTACGAAAAGACGTAATAAATAAGATCTACCTAAAGTTAAATATGAAGCATTGCGATGGGTCGATTCTGAAAGTAGATAATACAAAGTAGTTGTTGACGTCAATAAATCCGAATTAAATATTTATTTATAAAATTATTCAAAACATGTTAACGTCTTAAGGGCTCTAGGCTACACCACTTAAGACCACCATTGAATATGTGGTCGTGGTACTAGGCTACACCACTTAAGACCACCATTGAATATGTGGTCGTGGCACTAGGCTACACCACTTGAGACCACCATTGAATATGTGGTCGTGGCACTAGGCTACACCACTTGAGACCACCATTGAATATGTGGTCGTGGCACTAGGCTACACCACTTAAGACCACCATTGAATATGTGGTCGTGGCACTAGGCTACACCACTTAAGTCCACCATTGAATATGTGGTAGTGGGCTCTATGGTACAGCACTTAAGTCCACCATTGAATATGTGGTAGTGGGCTATAGACTTCACAACAGAATACTAGCAATGAAATTAAATATGGCCCTGCATCTACTTTTAAACAATCTTTTATTCTAACAGGTTGATTTTCAAAAATAAAAAATAAACAAAATCCTTCTTCTCCTGTTTTCAGGTACACTTTTTGGATGCATGCTTGTTCATTCTTCGAATGTTTGAGAAGTTCTTGTTGAAAAGAACCAGCGACTAAACCCATCAATGATGAACACCAAAAATAAATAATAGACAAAAGCACACACAGAATATCTTAGTCATCATTCTAAGCAGTCATCAACGTTGCCAAAAATTGTTTCTGAAATATTTTTCCCGTTAAACGTTTCAAAAATTAGGAAAAAATGTGTTTCCTTAAAAACAGCTAATCACTTAATAATTGGTTTTCTTTTAGCATGCAAAGTAATCAGGATTGCAATCAATCACTGCGCATTGCGGGTTGTAGGACAGATTTTTGTATAATGAAGCTTTGAAGCAAGAATTTCTTTAATTAACACAAACTAAACTAGATGTTAATTTACTTCTTTCGCACCTCAGTTCCTGCGTGCACTGACTTAATGCCATGGCAAGTGTTCCAGTTTAAAACACTATTGTGACAAATACGATATATGGCTACAAATTTGAAATATCCCTTCAGCTATGAAATATCACTATAAAAATGAAACATCACTACTACATGTATGAAGTATCACTACAATATGAAGTATCACTACAATATAAAATATTACGACAAATATGACATTATTCATCCAATTGTATGATTTCGCAGTCAATGTCTTAGAGTTGTATAACTTGTTAAAATACACGTTATTGTCACCCGAAATGCCTCAACTTCCTTGAGACCTCAGGCCCAAAGCTGAAAAATCGGATAAAATAATTGCAATTAAACTAATGCCAAAGACAACTGTCACACATTTAATTACCCGTCACGTGTTCGCCAGACCGCCGAGGTTGGTGACTGCCATAATGAGACTCGACTCTATTCCCGATCACATCTAGAATGCCTGGCAACACCTCCAAATCCGTGTTAGTGTCTGATCCAGAACCATCGTGGCAACCTCTGCAGAGGTACGTATCGTTCACAGGCCTCAAGTCCTCCTCTGACTCGGCAATATCCTCATGGAACCGTTCTAACTTAATTTTCAATTCTATAAGAACGTTGCAGTTCTGATAATCATCAAACAAAATTAACAAGTTCATGACACATTTTCTCCTTGTATTTTCTTTTTAAAAAAAATTAATAAAATAAAAAATAAAAGCTTTGTAACAATTAACGGTTACAAATGTTATCGCAAACATGTTTCATCATCCACGTTTGAAATACTTTAAATCTATCAAATTTAAAAATTATGTTTGCAAAAGATTAAATACAAATGCATGTATAACAAAACATACATAAATATGTTAGCGTCTGGTTTCGCTACTCTTTTCTAGACCCAAGTGAAGAAACAAAACTGTTGTGTTATTAAACGAATTCCGGTTATCGATACAAAAAAAATCGGTGGTTTTCTGTGTACAACGGCCGTACTTGAACTGTTTTTTTTCTTCGCTAACTTTTTGCGAATCATATCTTTTTATTCCGCACATTTTTGAATTCTTTCAGAAAATAACACAGTTAAAACGTCAGCCGCTACTGTCTCAAGTGTGTAGCCACTCTACTGGCTACTGTATCACGTGTGTAGCGACTCTACTGGCTACTGTCTCACGTGTGTGGCCAAACTACTGGCTACTGTCTCACGTGTGTAGCCAAACCACTGGCTACTGTCTCACGTGTCTAGCCATACTGCTGGCTAATGTACAGCCACATAACTAGTTTTAACTGAAAAGAAAAATATGATGTTCATAGCCTTAAACTAGTTTATAATTACATTAGTGTGGAGACCTTAATTAAACGTGAGGCGTATTTAAAAAAAAAGAAACTACTTGGAATAGACATTTAATTTAGTGTTAATTTATGACCCGCGCTCAGATTTTAATTGAACACCATTGATTAGTAAGGCTGTCACAATTATTGTTCAAAGAAGCAGTTGCTGTGAGTAGTTTAATAAGTTTTTTTGTGTCTCACCTGTGGGCGATCAGTGACTCTTCTTTGAGCTCCATCTTGAAGAAAAACAAAATCATGACGTCAGTGTTCTCTCGGATTTTTGTTTTACTAATGCTTAAATAAACGTTGAAAAGTGCACATCGCTCGTATGAACTCAAACTTTATACAGTCAATTTTTTGGGGTAAATAATTTTCCCCACGCATTTAAAAGCTATAACTAAATTCAACTTATCCATTAAAGAAGGCTTGCACAACATACGGCGCGCCAGCACCGACTTTGCGGCCCGCAAAGTAACGAAATATTCTTTTACTATTATTTTCTTACTAGCTTTCCCCTCTGTCCCATCTTATTTTGGCCCGCAAAAGTTTTGCATAAAGTATTACGGCCCGCCTTACATTTTGAGTTGTTGAGGCCTGCATGAAAGGTTGAATGTGGGACCGGCTAATTCATAAATATTTAACATCCGATTGTACAATGTTAGTTTCTTCCTCTTTTTTTGAAAGACTTCCCAGACAGTGCCAGAAAGTTACTGATCAGTCTGAGTACTAAAATCACGATTGAGAACTAGAATAATTCTGGTCATAGCATATGCCACTAAATTTACAATAAAGATGCGAACATATGCTTTCTAAAAAAAAAAAAGATAAATATTTTTATATTTTAGAAAAATTTTTTTTTTTTAACTTACAACATTTATAAGAATAATTCTGGTCATAGCATATGCCAATAAATTTACAATAAAGATGCGAACATATGCTTTATAAAAAAAAAAAAGATAAATATTTTTATATTTTAGAAAAATTTTTTTTTTTTTAACGTACAACATTTATACAATACTAACACAATATAAAAACATTCAATAAATGAAGTGGGTCAACACGGGAAAAGATGAGCCCTGGTCACCATTTAAAATAATAAACTAGATCCTATTTTATAAAGCAAGGGTTGGGAAACTCTTCTAGCGATTACTCTACATTATGAGTTATATACGGCGACCTTACCCCATAGATTTGAAAAAAACAGAAGAAGATCCTATACTGTTTACTGTATACTGTTTACTGTTTACTGTTTACTGTTTACATTTATAATGGCTTATGAATTTTATTTATACGAGAAACGCATTATTTTTTTTTTAAACATCAATTAAATGTGATAAAAATACATAAATGAAATCCTCGAAATAAATATTTATTCATGCATAATTCCAGGCTATTTCCGTTCATTTAAAACGCCCCTGCAATAATTGTCACAATTTGTCACACAATTTAGACATAACACAATAAATTGTCGCTTACCTGTCACACAATTTAGTCATATCCCAATAAATTGTCGCGTATTTATCATACAATTTAGTCATATCACAATAATTTGTCGCTTATGTGTCATACAATTTAGACTTATCACAATAAATTGTCGCTTATTTGTCACACAATTTAGTCATATTACAATTAATTGTCGCTTATGTGTCACACTATTTAGACAACTCACAATAAATTGGCGCTTATTTGTCACACAATTTAGACATATCACAATAAATCGTCACAAATTCGTGATTATTGTCCTTAAAGAAAAGTGTGTCTATTGGAATAGGGGGTAGGGGCAGAGAGAGAGAGAGAGAGAGGATGTAGGGGGATAAGTATATTTTAAAAATATTTTTTAATCATAAAAAGGGCTTTAAAGAAATGATCATAACCATTTCCATAATGAGATACTTCTATGTAATTGATCTACCAAAGTTATTTCCATAATGAGATACTTCTATGTAATTGATCTACCAAAGTTATTTCCATAATGAGATACTTCTATGTAATTGATCTACCAAAGTTATTTCCACAATGAGATACTTCTATGTAATTGATCTACCAAAGTTTATCTCTGTCTTCTCGCTGGTTATTCGAGTGGACATCTATTAGACTTACCTCTAAACACGATATCATTGGCCTGTTCCATTACGAATAAGTTCAAAACACACGTAGACGCACAATTGGAACATTGGCTGTCCTGGGAACAAAGTAGCCGTGCATCAGCCGTTATAACCAGGTGAATAAGGGGAAAAAATTGAATAAAGCAGTTGAGACTCACTATGTGAGTTTTAAATAATCCGTTGGGGTTTTACCCGTGCCCATAGTTATGTAGGCCTATATATCTATAACATAACCTCTATAGTAAGCTATAAGAATATACTTCCTCTTCCTTGTGTTATCAAATTCGGATTTTTTTATTTCGTAACTTTTTTATGACCTTAGGTTTAGCTTCCTCATTTCTCGGCTTTGATGTCACGCATGTAAAAATATAATCACTTCGATGCGCGGCTTTAAGTTATTTAACAAAATTATAATTGAGTATATATTATGTTCTATTAATTTCAAACTGTGTTTGATAGAGTGTAATTTACACGGGACTTGGTCGTGAGATGGAATTGGAAGTAACTTGTAAGAACAACATCTATCCAAAAGACGTTATAAAATGTGTAATGTAAAAAATGTAAATGTGTAATGTAAAAATTGTAAATGTGTAATGTAAAAAATGTAAATGTGTAATGTAAAAAATGTAAATGTGTAATGTAAAAAATGTAAATGTGTAATGTAAAAAATGCAAATGTGTAATGTAAAAAATGTAAATGTGTAATGTAAAAAATGTAAATGTGTAATGTAAAAAATGTAAATGTGTAATGTAAAAATTGTAAATGTGTAATGTAAAAAATGTAAATGTGTAATGTAAAAAATGTAAATGTGTAATATAAAAAATGTAAATGTGTAATGTAAAAAATGCAAATGTGTAATGTAAAAAATGTAAATGTGTAATGTAAAAAATGTAAATGTGTAATGTGAAAAATGTAAATGTGTAATGTAAAAAATGTAAATGTGTAATGTAAAAAATGCAAATGTGTAATGTAAAAAATGTTGACGTCGCGCAACTCTTCCTCACTTTAAACAAAAGTCACCAGCGCAAGTCATCAGTCACCGGACGGCTCGATGGTCATCGTCGATCTTCAACGGACGAACGCTAATAATAATAATAAATGTAAAGTAAAAGACCACTCATATTGTACCACGTTTATTGTGTCGGAGAAAGTTTTGCCGTAGGTATGCTGTTTGCAAACTGAGGGCGTCTATAGTTTTACAGTTGTGAGGTCGGTTGTAGTTCTAAAGCTGTGAGGGTTGCCTGTATTTCTAAAGCTGTGAGGTTGCCTGCAGTTCTAAAAGTGTGAGGGCGCCTGTATTTCTAAAGTTGTGAGGGCACCTGTAGTTCTAAATTTGTGAGGGCGACTGTAATTCTAAAGATGTGAGGGCGCCTGTAGTTCTAATGTTGTTAGGGCGCCTGTGGTTCGAAAGCTGTGAGGGTGCCTGTAGTTCTAAAGATATTAGCTTCTGATTTCGCCACTCTTTTCTAAAACTATGAGGGCGCCTGTAGTTCTAAAGCTGCGAGAGAAAATGTCATGAATTCGTCTGTGCGTGTCCCGGTACTATCTATTATATAAAGGTCGCTAAGACTTGTCATAATAACGAGCACGCTATAGTTATGCTCGATGACCGCTGTCTGAATTTTCTACACTAATTATTGTGTTTGTAGACGTAAAAAAACATATCCCAGTTGAAATCTTTTCAGCTGAAATTATAAAAAATGATGTCATCAACAGAAAATGACTAAAATATAGGCATTCAAATAAGAGAGACACTGGCAGGATATTGGAAAGTGAGTTTGTGGACGTCAAATGATTCAGAGAAGGTTGTTAAATAAAACTTTTTTTTATGGGACATACGTTTTAAAACTATATCTTAAAACAATTGTTAAAGTATTATCTTACAATGTACTTTATTTGGTTAAAATGTATTTGAGTATTACATTAAAAAAATGCATTTAAAAAAAGGAAATGCCATTTAATGTCAGACATGATGAGGTATTCTGAATTATTTTTAATTATAAAGAAAATTTTTTATTTGTTTCACCGTTATTTCAATTTCTTGATGTTTTCACGAGCGTTTAAAGAAAATGCTAAAATGTTCAGACAAAGATGTTTGCTTCCACTGACAACAGGATGTGTCTGACATCATAACCAAAACCCTAACAACGGCATGTGTCTGACGTTATAACAAAAGCCTTAACAACAGGATGTGTCTGACATCATAACCAAAACCCTAACAACGGCATGTGTCTGACGTTATAACAAAAGCCCCAACAACAGGATGTGTCTTACAAATTAGAACCAAAACCCTAACATCGGGATGTGTCTGACATTATAACCAAAGCCCCAACAACAGGATGTGTCTTACATATTAGAAACAAAACCCTAACATCGGGATGTGTCTGACATTATAAACAAAGCCTAACCAGGCCTCCTCTTTAGTGCCGAAAAAACCAATCCCGTATGTGGTAATTTTTAATTTTTTTTTTAGTTTAAGAAAAATATTTTTTTCATTTCTATTTTCAAAACATATTTTAGATAACGATAGATGCCCCCAGATTATAATCCTTTCGACCCATTTACCTACGAATGCATGTCGGTAACCACATGCACTTGTTCTTTATCACCGTATGACGTCATGCGGATACAAGAAGTGAAAAAAATTAACCCTTTTTTTTTAACGAAAAAAAAAAAAAAAAAAAAAAAAAAAAAAATAAATTTCCCAGTCCCCTGTTTGAAAGTCACGTTACATAATATGCCACGAAAATTTGACGGGGAATTTTGTCAAACATTCAAGGAGCCACGGAAGAAGTTTCATTCCAATGCAGAATCTGATTCCGTCAGGGAATGTTCACTGGAACATATATTTTGATATAACATTTTCTTCCATCTGCCTGGGAATCGAAGTTCTTTTCTTTAGTTTCTGAAAGCCTCACTTTGAATCTAGCGTGACAATTGATCCATTTATATAACCTCAAAGACGTTCATGTATTAGTGAGTTGATGCTTCTAAAAAAAAAAAAAACAAGATATCTATGATATGTTCCACTCTTCCATTAGATCTCAGCGTTAAACAACACAGAACGCCATTGACACGAAGGAAATCCACGGATGAATAACGCGCGTCCGCTCATCAAAGCGAAATGAAAAAATACCTTGTTGACACTCATCGGTAATTCAAAGTAGTACACATAATTATCATTAATGGTTAATGACGCCTCTTCATTATTATTATTTTGATTGAATTTATTTAAGTGAACGGGATTTCTCATTTATGGGATTGTAGCAATTGTTTGTTGTTGTTTTTTTTTGGTATGGGAATGATTTTTATCAAACTAAGTGCATCTAAAAGCTAAAAGACTTAAGATATAGTTAAGCCAAAATAGGTCACAAATACAAAGCACAAATACAAAGGGGGGATTTATTAGAATGTGTTGTCATTGGCAACAAGTCTATGTGCCAAGTTTCAGCTCGATAAAGTGACGTGAAGTAGGTCAATTAACCTTTCGGAGATGTTGGCACAAACGCACTAGCAAAGGCTCTCCTCCCGTCTACCATTCATTGATCTGTAGTTTTATTTTGAAATAGGAAGTTTAAAAAAAACTGACCTTAGAGGATAACTTAATGCAGAAACAGAGGCATCGAGATTAGTTCATTTTTTAAATTAACCCCAGTTACAATGTTATCACCGGCACTTGAACAACTTGGTAATCGTAGTCGCTAAACAAGAGGATTGGTAAAAGCTTGTTAAAGACTTAGATAAGAGTAGCTAAACAAGAGCATTGGTACAAGCTTGTTAAAGACTCAGATAAGAGTCGCTAAATAAGAGCATTTGTACAAGCTTGTTAAACTCTCAGATAAGAGTCGCTAAATAAGAGCATTGGTACAAGCTTGTTAAAGACTCAGATAAGAGTCACTAAATAAGAGGGTTGGTACAAGCTTGTTAAAGACTCAGATAAGAATCGCTTAGTATGAGCATTGGTACAAGCTTGTTAAACACTCAGAAAAGAGTCGCTAAATAAGAGCATTGGTACAAGCTTGTTAAAGACTCAGATACGAGTCGCTAAATAAGAGGATTGGTACACGTTTATTAAAGAATCAGATAAGAGTCCCTAAAAAGAGGATTGGTAACAGTTTATTAAAGAATCAGATAAGAGTCGCTACATAAGAGGGTTGGTACAAGTTTATTAAAGACTCACATCGTAGTCGCTAAATAAGAGGATTGGTACAAGTTTATTAAAGACTCAGATCGTAGTCGCTAAATAAGAGCATTGGTACAATCTTGTTAAAGACTCAGATACGAGTCGCTAAATAAGAGCATTGGTACAAGCTTGTTAAAGACTTAGATAAGAGTCGCTAAATAAGAGCATTGGTACAAGCTTGTTAAAGACTCAGATAAGAGTCGCTAAATAAGAGCATTGGTACAAGCTTGTTAAACACTCAGATAAGAGTCGCTAAATAAGAGCATTGGTACAAGCTTTCTAAAGACTCAGATAAGAGTCGCTAAATAAGAGCATTGGTACAAGCTTTCTAAAGACTCAGATAAGAGTCGCTAAATAAGAGGGTTGGTACAAGCTTGTTAAAGACTCAGATAAGAGTCGCTTAATAAGAGCATTGGTACAAGCTTGTTAAAGACTCAGATAAGAGTCGCTAAATAAGAGCATTGGTACAAGCCTGTTAAGGACTCTGTGCCCTTGGCTTTTATCACAGGGCTGCTAAACTGGAATTAAAAATGAAGGCTGGCCAGCTTGTACCGGATCCTCGACGACTTTGACCACAGCCAGGAAATGTACGTCACTGATGTGACGTCACTTTGGTTGTCTTGTTAAGTTACTTGATTTTATCACACTAACGCAGTGGTGCAGCAAAGGTTTGTGAAACCCGGGGCGGAACAATAATATTGCCAACCCCTTCCTCGAAAAGGACTCTTCAATCGGCCGAAAATACCACCCCTCTATTTGAAAGGAAAAAAATGTGCCGACCGGGGTAGAAAACCCCCTCACTTCACACCCCCTTCTTACGCCAGAGCAAAAATAAAGCATTTCTAGTTTTGTCTGCTCCATCGTGTACATTTGTAGACACGTAGTAATGTTTTAATACATAAATTTTCTTCTATTTGATCTATGGACAGTTTGTATCGGGTTTTCACAGAATAACAAAATGAGGAAGTTAGACGTCAGCACTAAGAACAACTAATGGGAAGTC